CCATAGTGTACACCCCTCACCCTAGACCTTCAGCCATAGTGTACACCCCTCACCCTAGACCTTCAGCCATAGTGTAAACCCCTCACCCTAGACCTTCAGCCATAGTGTACACCCCTCCCCTAACCTTCAGCCATAGTGTACACCCCTCACCCTAGACCTTCAGCCATAGTGTACACCCCTCACCCTAGACCTTCAGCATAGTGTACACCCCTCACCCTAGACCTTCAGCCATAGTGTACACCCCTCACCCTAGACCTTCAGCCATAGTGTACACCCCTCACCCTAGACCTTCAGCCATAGTGTACACCCCTCACCCTAGACCTTCAGCCATAGTGTACACCCCTCACCCTAGACCTTCAGCCATAGTGTACACCCTCACCCTAGACCTTCAGCCATAGTGTACACCCCTCACCCTAGACCTTCAGCCATAGTGTACACCCCTCACCCTAGACCTTCAGCCATAGTGTACACCCCTCACCCTAGACCTTCAGCCATAGTGTACACCCTCACCCTAGACCTTCAGCCATAGTGTACACCCCTCACCCTAGACCTTCAGCCATAGTGTACACCCCTCACCCTAGACCTTCAGCCATAGTGTACACCCCTCACCCTAGACCTTCAGCCATAGTGTACACCCCTCACCCTAGACCTTCAGCCATAGTGTACACCCCTCAACCTTTAGCGCACTGGTAAATTTGCCCCTAAACTGCTGACTATTGGTTACAGTATTAGAATTTCAGGAAAGTAATGTCGTAGGTGGCTGGGCCCAGCCTAACCCCTCTAGGTGGTACTCCCCGTACACTGTTCATACACAAACTGGCCCCACTTATAACACAAAACTCTCTTTACATGATCTACTTAGTAGTCAGCTTAAACCCCCTTACAGGTGACACCCACAAGGTGGGTGTCACCAATAGTTTAGGTGTTTTATCGTGTCTATGAATGTCGTATATGTTCTCTGTATTCCCTCCTTTTCAGCCATCGCTCTCCCACTCTGAAGGGGTAAGTGAGTATTGAGCAATACTAGAGACAAGATGGCATTAGTGATGTGAATACTATGAGCATTATCTTGGGATCCCTGGATTTGACTAGCCTCATAATCCATTCTATCATTTTCCTGGCTAATGCTATATTCACTTGGTTATGTTTGCTACATGTTAGATCGTCAGACATCATAATTCCCAGATCTTCAATGTTCTCATGTCCTATTTTCTCTAAATTTAAAGCACCAGTCCTTGTACACCTTGTCTATTCATCTCAGAATTTTGTATATAGTGATCATATCCACAGCTGCACCTTGTGAGTAGTGAGATTGAAATCTCCTAGTCCTCATAGTTCAAATACTAATCTTCTTACAAATATTAGTATTTTTTAAGTTAGTCTTTGTGCCTCATGAGTTGGAGGTTTCATGCAGGTGCTGTGTACTCTAGTAATGGTCTCACATAGCTTGTCTAAATTGTCTTCACTGAGTCATTGTTTAGATATATAAATGTTGTTTCAATTTGTCAGCTCCCAATAGATTATACTGTTGAAGTTATCCAATTCATATGTGCTTCTGGAATTAGTATTGGAATTAAATGCAATCTTTTTACCTTTCCAATTCCCATAATTACCATCCCCCTTATGGTGTAAATGTCTTCTGATCACTACCTATCCTTACCCCTCTTTATTACTTTACACTTAATCCCTTAACTGCGCCGCCTCCAAATGACACCCCCCCTCCAGTGCCCAGGAAATAAATTTTTTTTTTTTTTTTTTTTAAATGTCAAAAACCCTTCCCTCAGTATTGATATGTATGTCAAATTTTTTTCGGAATTGTGCTTACTTTGGCTGCTATGGGGTCCGTAAGTTGGCACGTGACGTACGCTCCCGGGGCCAGTAGGGCGCGTGAGTTGCCGCAAATATATTTATGTTCAGTTTTTGCGCGCAGTTCCAAATACAATTTATTTGTTTTTACGTGCTAATCCTATGTATAATGAACACGTACACTATATTATGGCAGTAAAACATCCGTACTGTCAGAAGACACTCTGTTACGTGCATGACACTTGTGTACACATATTTACCATGTATCATGCTAATTTATGTATATATATGTCGTACCTAGTAGCCAGAACGCACTTCTCAGCCTACTATTCAAGTCCCGATTTGCCTAATAAGCCAAGTTTTCATGAATTAATTGTTTTTCGACAACCTAACCTACCTAACCTAACCTACCTTTTTCGGCTACCTAACCTAACCTAACCTATAAAGATAGGTTAGGTTAGGTTAGGTAGGGTTGGTTAGGTTCGGTCATATATCTTCGTTAATTTTAACTCCAATAAAATATAATTAACATCATACATAATGAAATGGGTAGCTTTATCATTTCATAAGAAAAAAATTAGAGAAAATATATTAATTCAGGAAAACTTGGCTTATTAGGCAAATCGGGCCTTGCATAGTAGGCTGAGAAGTGCGTTCTGGCTACTAGGTACGACATATACAATCTATTTGCAAACTATACACTGTCACACACTATATACATTCACTATCAACACATTTAGAACACAGCGAGTGTGAGCAGCCACACCCAGCCAGCCCTTCCTCACTCCAACACCTTACTCGCCAACATTGCTCCTCCCACCATACTGTTATTGTTTTTATTACACTATTTACACATGTTATATATACCTATCTACATGTTTTATTTACCAGAACTATGCAAGTAAGCCGGTATTGTGTCCAAACAGTACAGTTGCCACCATACACTGCATGAGAAATCACACAGCAGACGACGCTACGATTACGACGTCACCTCCCTCACCAAAATAGCTCCTCTCAACATACTCCTGTTGCTGTTATTACACTATACACACACACTGTATATACCCATGTACATATGTGTTCCCCATAGTGAACCACGAAGCTAGTATGGTGAGCAAAACAAGAGTGGCTGCCACACAGAGTGAATCTACCTCAATTCTCTCCTTTCCTCCCTCCCTCACCAAAATTCCTCCTTCCACAATACTACGCACAACGCTAATTATAACCACAATCCTGGTCACTAATTCCTGTAAATGAATAATTGACCACAAGTTTATTTTGAAAAGGAATCTAAGAAGTCGTTTGAAGATTCCTAGATGGACGAAATAATGCTGTGGTGCTGTGGCTAACGCTGTGAACAGCGTTGAATCACTGATATTTGAACATTGTACCCAGTCATTATCACACTCAGGCTCTTCTATATAACTATCATGGCTAATAATACAGGTTATATATACTGTATATATATATTTTTTTATATTATTAGGCGATGCTGTGGTCATAAGCTTAACAGCAGTGCTGTGAGCTCATGCTGCGTGCGCTGGCCTTGGTTGCTCATTCACTACTGAGGTTCTCACACCTGGGAATGTGGACCACGATTTTTTTTTTTAAAGATGGTGCTTGTTTACAAGAGCCGTGAGGAAGCTGATGTGAACCCCATGTAGCCGCGTGAGTTTTGAATGGAACGTGAAAAATACAAATATCCGGAGGCGCGTAGCGCACCCCAGACGTGAGCCTGCAGGCGCATTGCGCAGTTAAAGTGTTAATAGAGTTGACGATGTGTCACAATAACGTGGCTGAAGTATGTTGACTTGAGAATGATCCAGGACGGACCGAAACGTCGTCGTCCCTTCAACTTCTAGTGTGGTCTGGTCAACAAAACACTTAATAGAGTTGAATTTGAACAGCTATTTACATGCCTTCTTGCAGTTTATAATAAGGTCACTATGCAAAAAATCTACAACCCTTCTCAGTTTTATCTTTTTCTTTTTTTTTTATAAATTTGGCATCACGTGCAAACGCTGACATGTACGACCTCACTCCCCTCACTCAGGATGGTCATTCACAATTTAAGAACGGTAACAGACATAGGACTCGAGCCTAGGTTACTACTCTGATGTCACATCTCTCTCTCCAGCCTGACACCTCTCTCAATGTGACCCCTTTTATTTCTGTAAGTCAGTTATCCAGATCAGTATCTTTCCAGTTATTCCCCCTTGTATCTTCACCCTATACCTTAGTCTTTTGGGAGCAACAGCATCCATAAAAGCAAGCCTCTCCTTCATAGTCCACTGATGCTTTTAACCTTTTTTTTTCAGGTACCGCACGTCCGTTTACCTTACTCGTCTCTCGTTAACCTCTCTCTTCATCCTACAGCTTAATTACCTGTGAGAGTTCAGTCTTCATACCTTGTTAGAACAGCTGAAGATGATTCTGTCTGTGTGTCTGACCAGCCATCTTCTTGTTGAGCGTTCAAAGATGACCGCAACTTAACATTCTCCTCTTGAAGTTGCTCTCTCTTCTGTAAAGCAACCTTCAGCTCTGCTTCAAGGGAGTTCACCTGAACAAGAAAAAGACAAATAATCACCATTGCAGCAATAATACACAAAAGCTTTATTAACCATCAGCTGGTGCCATCTTGAGGTTATCTTGAGATGATTTCAGGGCTTTCTTTTTAGTGTCCCCACGGCCCGGTCCTCGACCAGGCCTCCACCCCCAGGAAGCAGCCCATGACAGCTGACTAACACCAGGTACCTATTTTACTGCTAGGTAACAGGAGCATAGGGTGAAAGAAACTCTGCCCATTGTTTCTCCGCCGTCACCTGGGATCGAACCCGGGACCACAGGATCACAAGTCCAGTGACCAGCATGCTGTCCGCTCGGCCGACCGGCTCCCTCAATGGCAACTAGCCATTGACACATCCCAAATGCAACATTGTCACTTGGCCTTCACTTGAAGCCCCTCATTAGCCATCATCATATTTGTGATCAGAGCACAACATGAAAGCTACATCCCCATATGCACTCCACTCTCAACCCCACATGGGCCTTGACCTACAACCTCGGAACCTATTAATATACTTTGGGAGCCCAAAATTTGAATCCATGTGAGATTACCTATAGGGCAACTAGCACCTTACCAGTACTTTCCTGGCTTACCAGTACTTTACTGGATGACAGGCAACTAACCAGTACTTTACTGGATGACAGGCAACTAACCACTACTTTACTGGATGACAGGCAACTAACCAGTACTTTACTGGATGACAGGCAACTAACCAGTACTTTACTGGATGACAGGCAACTAACCAGTACTTTACTGGATGACAGGCAACTAACCAGTACTTTACTGGATGACAGGCAACTAACCAGTACTTTACTGGATGACAGGCAACTAACCAGTACTTTACTGGATGACAGGCAACTAACCAGTACTTTACTGGATGACAGGCAACTAACCAGTACTTTACTGGATGACAGGCAACTAATCACTACTTTACTGGATGACAGGCAACTAACCAGTACTTTACTGGATGACAGGCAACTAATCACTACTTTACTGGATGACAGGCAACTAATCACTACTTTACTGGATGACAGGCAACTAACCAGTACAGTACTGGATGACAGGCAACTAACCAGTACTTTACTGGATGACAGGCAACTAACCAGTACTTTACTGGATGACAGGCAACTAACCAGTACTTTACTGGATGACAGGCAACTAACCAGTACTTTACTGGATGACAGGCAACTAACCAGTACTTTACTGGATGACAGGCAACTAACCAGTACTTTACTGGATGACAGGCAACTAACCAGTACTTTACTGGATGACAGGCAACTAACCAGTACTTTACTGGATGACAGGCAACTAACCAGTACTTTACTGGATGACAGGCAACTAACCACTACTTTACTGGATGACAGGCAACTAACCAGTACTTTACTGGATGACAGGCAACTAACCACTACTTTTACTGGTGACAGGCAACTAACCAGTACTTTACTGGGTGACAGGCAACTAACCACTACTTTACTGGATGACAGGCAACTAACCAGTACAGTACTGGATGACAGGCAACTAACCACTACTTTACTGGATGACAGGCAACTAACCACTACTTACTGGATGACAGGCAACTAACCACTACTTTACTGGATGACAGGCAACTAACCACTACTTTACTGGATGACAGGCAACTAACCAGTACAGTACTGGATGACAGGCAACTAATCACTACTTTACTGGATGACAGGCAACTAACCAGTACAGTACTGGATGACAGGCAACTAACCAGTACAGTACTGGATGACAGGCAACTAACCAGTACAGTACTGGATGACAGGCAACTAACCAGTACAGTACTGGATGACAGGCAACTAACCAGTACAGTACTGGATGACATGCTACTAACCAGTATAAAATATTTAGGCACCACCCTAGTTAATGCAAGGTAATCTTGAGGTTATCTTGAGATGATTTCGGGGCTTAGTGTCTGCACGGCCCGGTCCTCGACCAGGCCTACTTTTTATTACATACCTCCAGGAAGCAGCCCGTAGCAGCTGTCTAACTCCCAGGTACCTATTTACTGCTAGGTAACAAGGGCATCAGGGTAAAAGAAACATTTTGCCCACTTGTCTCTGCCTCCACTGGGGATCGAACCCGGGACCTCAGGACTACGAATTTGTAGTGCTGTCCACCCAGCCGTCATTTGCTGGGTACCCAGTTATTGGGTTTTAAACGGCAAATAAACAATAAATAAGGACAGGGCCCCCAAGGTTACACAAGTTACAAGTATACAAGATCCCAACCTGCCAGGGTTGGTTTTTTATATAATCAATACTTAAAAAAGGCAATATTAAATTTAGATAGAAAAGGCACATTTAAAGTTAAATAAAAACAGAAAATGTAATGCACAAGGGAAATCACATTAATGAGATTTATCACGTTAATGTGATACATCTTCTCTGCAAATTTAAATGTAAATGAAAACTAAGTTTTTAAACCAGCAAGGGTTTCTTGAAAAAACAAATGAAAAAAATAAATAAATAAAAAATCCAGCCTGGGTGGGTAAGTTAGTACCTACCATACAAATCCTGAATGTGATATTGACATGGCAACTATTCCGTTGCGTAGTTACGTAATAATCCTATGTATAAAACAAGTGACAATTATGTACCTTATCTTCAAGCTCTTGAGCCATAGCCCCGTTCAGCTTATTCTGCTCTTGGGTCTTGCGAAGGTCGTACAAGGCCTGGTTTAATTTCTCTTTAGTGTCCTCGGCCTCACTTCCAGGCTGCTGCTTCAGAGGTGGCATGCTCTCCAGCTGCTCTACACACACCTGAAACGTACGACATCAATTGCATCACAAACAGTGGCTCTCGGTGCGGTGTGATGACTTAGTTGCTTCTCGTATATTTTGGAGCTGGTTCACACTAATAATTTTGTAATGAAGATTTTGACATTTTTGTCTTGTGTATATATTTTAGGTAGAACATAAGAATAAAAAAGCTGGAGGCCTATTGACCCATTCACGTCAGATTAAGTTTATAACTAACCCGAGGCCTATTGGCCCATTCACGTCAGATTAAGTTTATAACTAACCCGAGGCCTATTGGCCCATTCACGTCAGATTAAGTTTATAACTAACCCGAGGCCTATTGGCCCATTCACGTCAGATTAAGTTTATAACTAACCCGAGGCCTATTGGCCCATTCACGTCAGATTAAGTTTATAACTAACCCGAGGCCTATTGGCCCATTCACGTCAGATTAAGTTTATAACTAACCCGAGGCTATTGGCCCCATTCAGAGTCAGATTAAGTTTATAACTAACCCGAGGCCTATTGGCCCATTCACGTCAGATTAAGTTTATAACTAAACCGAGGCCTATTGGCCCATTCACGTCAGATTAAGTTTATAACTAACCCGAGGCCTATTGGCCCATTCACGTCAGATTAAGTTTATAACTAACCCGAGGCCTATTGGCCCATTCACGTCAGATTAAATTTATAACTAACCCGAGGCCTATTGGCCCATTCACGTCAGATTAAATTTATAACTAACCCGAGGCCTATTGGCCCATTCACGTCAGATTAAATTTATAACTAACCCGAGGCCTATTGGCCCATTCACGTCAGATTAAATTTATAACTAACCCGAGGCCTATTGGCCCATTCACGTCAGATTAAATTTATAACTAACCCAACTCCCTCATACGTGTGTAATCTTCACTTAGAGCAAGCCAGTAATCTCGTGTCTTTCATGCTGCTCACTAATCTCTTCCACAAACCAATAACCCTATTGCCAACTCTGTATTTACCAGGGTTCTTTATAATGTGTAAACTTATTAAAATGGCATAAATTATTTTGCATTGTTATATTTAATACCCCTATTAATATCCTCCTTATTCATTTCATTTGTATACTGTACTTCGTTCATCTTTCTCTCTGCCTTTCTAGAGAATGAAAATGACCTTTCTTAATCTCTTTCCCTATAGGAGAGGTTCCTAATTGCTAGGGTAATATTGTCATTGTATATACCGAACATGTTGAGGTTTATGACCACTGTGTAGTACGGCAACCAAAGCTCAGCCCCATAATCTAAATGGCACCTAACAAAGGAAAGACAAAGCTGAAGAACCGCAGCAGCAGCAGCAGGTGTCGCTCCTTCAGCTTTGTCACCATCCCGAGCTGCTAACACTTCATGATATAAATCAAAAGTATCATATTTGCCTTATTTGGTGCAGTTATACATAGACTTTTAGGACTCAAGATTCCTAATACATTAGGAAATATTTTATCTGGTCCCAGATAAAAACTCGTTGCGTTTTAATTTTTTTTTATTAACAACTTTCTCCCCAGACAACCACTACAGCCATTCAATTCTCCTCACCAATTACAGAGCTTTATGCAACTGCAAGTAAAGTAAAACAGAAAAAAGCCTATATGTACTTATAGAGTTACTCAATTACTTAACTAATTGCTCGTGTTGTGCGTGTGTAAAACTCAAGTGCTGTTCAGAGTTTGAGGTCCCAGTTGAAGGCATATCAAAGCACCTATATACTGTCACTGTTGAAAATACAGCATTGTTTTTCTTTTACATGACAAGTTTACTGAAACAATGTTCTGAGTACCAGTGAATTTCTCAAAACAACAGGGACTGAAAAAATTAAAGTAATTATTAAATACAAATGTAAATTACTAAACAAAATGTTCACCCATTTCACTGTCATTATGTTACCTAACCTGTTTTTTCTTGACATTGGTCCCCTCCTTCCCCTAATGTTTAATGTATAATACCTTAGGGATCATGTCTTGTCCACATCTTGACACTGATACCTTCCTTTCCCTAATGTTTGATGTATGACAGAA